GAGTGAACTTAAACTTGGTGGTGTTACCTTTTTTAAAGCCTGCCCATAAAATTCAAGCCATTTTATATCTTTTTCAAAAAGCCAATTAGAGTCAAAATGCTGGAGCTTTAATTATGAAGAGATGCACATATCTGCATTAAATGTCTTATCTTACCTTCAAATACGATAATAATCCAATAAAATATTACATCTCAAGGACCATGTCTACATTAAATATAATAACAACAAGCAAAATCATTACAAATATGTCCTTCTCTAAATAGAAAACTATAAATAAAGAAATAATGATCATTTCTGTAATGTAAGCCATGCGTTATTTAAATACTAATATTGTTTTGCATTCACTAAAGCTTCGGGATAATAAACGAGCTGTCATTGTGGCATGTTTCTATTATTAGCTTAGTTCAAATAAGGCTTAAACTGACATCAAACCATGCAAATATATCCTGTCTATCATTGAGTACATGCTTCAGATGTGAGTCACACCAGAAACATGACCTGTGACGTGACTGTGCTCTCGCTTTCTCTACTGACAGTTACGGGAGACGGAAGCAAAGCTGTTGACATGCTGGTGGGGTGAAATTTGATTGAGCCTTCTATGGAAATCTGTATGTCAGAAAATGTTTTGTAGATAATTTAACTCAGCAAATCTGATGAAAAGTATCCTTGACAGAAAGCATGTCCTAACAGAAAATATACCTGACAGAATTCCCAGAAAGTGCAGAGCTTTCTTTTTTTTCACGACATTTTCACAACAATGTACTATATTTTGGCTGCTGTTAGGTTAAGTCACAGTACATTGTTTTAAAATATGTCAAGATACCAACTAAAATAAAACAAATGACAAAAATTTGTCTGTAGGTTACATATTTGGATTACGAAAATGTTATGTAAACTTTGATAAAACGTGAAACTGCTGTACAATGTGCTACAATCACAGGCAATCAAAACATATTTCATTTTGGACTAATAAGCTATAAATAGAAAGACAACTGTACTTGTAAGTGATAGCTTTTAACACTTAAAAATGTTAAAACATATGACGTTAACAAAACTTTTTTTGCATAAAGTTTGCATATTTGGATTTTGAAGAATTAGTACCAAGTGTAACTTGACAAGGCAAAACTTCTGTGTGATGTGATTAAATCACAGAGAATTAAAACGTTTAATTGTGGAATAATGCAATGAGCTGACATAAACCGAAAGAAAATTGTACTTTAATAGCTTTTATCACTTAAAAATGTTATAGATACCACACCTAACACAACACAAATGACGTTAACAAAACTTAGAATGTAATTTACATGTACAATGCATAAACTTGAAAACGTAAAACTGCTGTGCCATGTGATTCAATCACAGACAATCATAACATCAATAATTTTGCATCAAAGCGATGGGCCAAAATAAAGCGAGAGCAAATTCTACTTCTAAGAATAGCTTTTGTCGCTTAAAATTGTTGTAGGTAGCATACTTAAAATACAATAAATGACATCAACAAAACTTAGAATGAAGTTGAAATATTTGGTTGCGAAAATGTAAAGGAAAAAAAACTTTGAAAAAACGCAAAACTGCTTTGCAATGTGATTAAATCAAAGACAATTAGAAGATATTTCATTGTGGATTAATGCAATGGGACAGCATAAACAAAGAGAAAATTTTACTTGTAAGTTACAGTTTTTATCAATTAAAATGATTCTACATTCCACATGTAAAATAAAACAAATGATGTTTACATATTTGGATTGTGAAAAATGTATACTATGTTTAAACTTAAAAATGTGAAACTGCTGTGCAATGTGATTTAATCACAGACAATCATAACATCTAATTTTGGACAAATGTGACAGGCCAAAATAAACCAAAGAAAATTGTACTTGTAAGAAACGTTTTTATCGCTTAAAATTGTTCTACATAGCGCACTTAAAATATAACAAATGAAATAACAAAACTTAGAATGTAGTTTACATGTTTGGATTGCAAAAACTTCCAAATATGAAAAAAAGAAAATCTTGAAAATAATCTTTGAGAAAACGCAAAAATGTTGTGCAATGTGATTTAATCACAGACAATCAGAACATATTTCATTGTGGATTATAGCAACGGGACAACATAAACCAAAAATTGTTTTTACACCTTTTAAACAATTTAGCTTTTATCAGCTACAATTGCTCTAGATGCCACATGTAAAATAAAACAAAAATGTAAACAAAACTTGCTGGGTAGTTTACATATTTGGATTGTGAAAAATGTATACTATGCTTATACTTATAACAATATTTTAGAACAATGCGTTAGAGCGACAAATCGAAAGAAAACCGTACTTGTGAGTAATACGTTTTATCGCTTAAAAATGTTGTAGATACCAAATTTAAATTTAAAGTAATATATATAAAATAATACAAATATACTTAATATCGTACAAATTACATAATTTTTCCCAACACTTAGTCATTACTTTTGCTGGTGCATAGGCTATATATTAAATAGGCTATATATTAAAGGCACATTATGATTTTAGTTCCCCACCCCCCAGTATATATTTAATTAAATTAAATTAATATATAATATAATATAAAATCTTTAGTCGGGGGCAGCCTGCAGTTGGATTGGGAAAAATTATTACCATGCTTAAACGTGAAAGTGCGAAACTGCTGTGCAATATGATACACAAACACTCATTGAGACAGGATGCCATTTATAGATTTATAGTCACGTCAGACTCAGACACAATCGGAAACATGTTTTACATGCAATAAAATGTTTATGAAAACAGTAAAAAAAAAAAAAACGTATTAAAAAAACACAGAAAAACATCACACAACCTCATATGAGAGACAGAACGCTCTGTGCTGACATCTCAGAAACACACTCACGCAATCACACACTCGAGAGTTTGTATGGACCATCTGTCTCACACACACACAGGCGTGGCTTGTGGACAGTGTGACGGCTGCCATAATTAAGCTTATGGTGTTTGTCAACTTTCCCTGCATGTAGCAGAGCATTGCACAGTGGCCGTCCACGGTGAGTCACGCTACCCAGACGGGACGGCAGCATCGACTGCCAAAAACCCAGTCAGCGCCATAGAGGTCTGGGTGCTCCACACTCCCAGCATGCAGTGCGGCTGCCAGATGATTTTTAAAGCCACATTTGCACACTACCCACTGAGGAACACAAATACACCCACTGAAAGCTGGCATTTAAAAATATGGTGAGAAGTAGTCGAGAATCCAACCTCCTGCGGTAAACATCCGGCATTTGAAAACAAATGGGAGATGCAGTAGGAGAGATTTGAAAATTAAACTGACACATTACAACACTGGCCTTTGCATTTATTATGTCCAAAAAAATGGCTGAACTGTGATTGGTCCCTTTAAATGTTGTTCAAGCGGCAAAGCAGTCCAGACTTTGTGCCGATAATCAAAAGTCTGACTCTGTGAGACTGGAGTTAGTTACACAAGCAGAAAAAATGTTGATCTAAAAATCTAAAAAACGATGCAACAGGATGATATGGATCACAAAGGCATGCTAGTCAAAAATAAAAAAAAATGCTACGAATGACAGAAATGCATCCATTTATTGAAACGCGTAACGGTTTTGAAATCTAAAACTTATCCAGTCAAAACAATTTATGGATTTCTGTCTGTCTCAGGATAGTGTAATTGTGCAGTAACACTCAAAGATGATATTTTTTTGTCTCTCAAGATATAATTTCGGTTCGAGTTTCCATTTGAAATCTTAAAAATAAATATAAAATATCAAGCCAAAAATATTTCTCAGTGCTTTTAGGGTTTATTTTTAACTGTAACACAATACACAAACAAACCTGAACTATATAGTTGTGCATTATGAATCATTTCAGCATACCAACATATTATAAACAAATTCCTTTAAAGTACTACTTTATGTGAGATGATTGCGATCTCGGCTATTTTAGATACTGCTAGTATTGTTTATAAGACATGCTGGGGCTTATTTTTACCTCACCCCTGCCAAGCATTAAATAAATTCCAGAAATTCCAGTTAAAAGTCAGTATCGTTGCTCTAAGTGAGAGTATGCTGTTCTTCCTGATTTTTTGGATATCTGAATATTTCTTTCCCAGCCTGGCGTATGTTTTGACGGAATCCTTTATCCGATGATAACTGAAAGTGGCACTGTGACAAGAGCGCTAACAAAGAGAGACTGGCAAAAAGTTACGTTAGAGTAGCAGCGCAGAACTAAGAAAGGGTTGTTAATTTGATCTATCGGAAATGATTAATTTTAGACTAAAATTTAGAATTATGCCTCTACATTTAATATTATCATGTTTTTCAAATGATTAGTTCTAGTGTGTGTACATACTTAGCAAAAATAGTTATGAACTTATTAAAAATAGTTAATAGTGACGTTAATATTTATAATAGTTATAATAATTGAAATTTAAAAAACTACATTTGGGGACATTCCATAATATATATATATATTTAAGAGTTAAATATATTTTTTATTATTTTTATTCCTTTATTCTTAATGGGTGCACTGAAAAAAAATTTGTGAGAGACAATTTTCACTCAGAAGAACAAAAAACTCCATTTGGGAATTAAATTAAATTAAATTAAATTATTTTATTTTTTATTTTTTATATATTTTTAATTAATTAAATATATTTGTATTCTTTTTTATTATTTTATTCTTTATGGGTGCACTGAAAAACATTGGTGAGAAACTACTAAGTAGTTAAAAACAAGCAGCAATTAACACAACAATTAAATTTTGAAGTATAAAATCTGAAAATAGTGTTTTTCTTTTTTAACATTTAAATTTTTTGTGTGTTCAAAAGGAAAAAAACTGTTCACAAAGAGTCTAAATGTCTATATTCACTTCTAAGAAGTTCTTTTTTTTTATTTGGGTTAGTTACATAGCACTAAATCAATGGGAAGTCCCCAATTACGCTACCGCGTAATTGTGTGTGTACGTGTTTCTGTGTGGTATCACCGGTGTACTAGTAGCTTCTTACCCCTCTTGGTTGTCCTCTTCGTCCAGATTGGAAAGTAGCTGGGATCCGGCCAGCGAGAGGTCCAGGGCAGCTAGAGGAAGGTCCCTGTAGGCGAAGCTGACCAGCTGCACTGGAGCCATGCACTGGCCTTCATCCTCCACCTGCTGGGAGATCACCTCCAGATCCGGCGCTGCCGCCTGCTGAGGGGGCCTGGGGACACACGGGACACACTACTCTATTGTCTTCTTACATGAACTGTCTTAAATAAGATTACCTTAAAAATGACTTGGATTACCACAAAGACGTTACATACTGAACCACTGAGTAAATGAAACCATCTACCTGTTATCACAGATGGGAAGTCAACATGAAATTAAATCTGACACTCTGAACTTTAACACGTTTCTGGTCTTACTGTGAATGATATATCAGTCCATTGATTAATACCCTCTAACCACCTTCAGAAACCACCTTGATTCAACTAAACAATTTCCAATCAGTGCACTGGGAAGTTGATTAATTTGAGTGAATGAGTTCATTAGGATTGTTCATGTAATGCAAGCAGCTGACTTCCGCAAACTGCTTCTTTCATACTAACCGTCCGTATGAACTGATTCACTAAAATGACTCACTGATTTATTTGAGGCATTGAGTAAAAAGTCATGTAAGGATTTTGAAATATTCAGTTAAGCATAATTGTTTGCACTGGAAAGTTTTAATGAAACAGTTAATTCGTTCATGTAAATCAAGCATTTTACTTTTCTGGACCACTTCATTCACATGAACCATCCCAAAGAACTGATTCACTAAAATGGGTCACTGATTCATTTGAGGCACATTGTTTGTATTGTGACATAACATTGTTTTTTTAAGCACATTTGTTTGTTTTGGGAATTTAGACTTGAAGTTTATTCTGAACATGTAAAGCAAGCAGTTTACTTGTCAAACTGCTTCATTCACAAGATGCGCCTGAAAGAAAGAATTCACTCATTAAAACGACTCACTGATTCATTTGAGGCATTGTGTAGAAGTTATGTGAGGAATTTTTGATAGCAAAAAAAAAAATAGTTAAGCCCAGTAGTTTCATTGGGAAGTTGGACTAATTTTAGTGAATCAGTCCATTCAGATTTGTTATGCAAATCAAGCATTTTACTTTAGCGAACGGCTTCATTCTCGTGGATTTTATGAAAGAACCGATTCACCAAAAGGAGTCACTGATTTACTTGATGCCATGCGTAGAAGTCCTGAATTTTTGGTAGCAAAATATTTAGTTAAACACAGTTGTTTGCATTGGTAAGTTAGACTCCATTTAGTGAAGTTTCATGTAAATCAAGCAATTTACTTAAGAGAACTACTTTATTAAAACTGATTCACTAAAATGAGTCACGGATTCCCTTTTTTTGTAGTTTAGGAAGTGAAATATTTAGTTAAGTGCAGTTTGCATTGGGAAGGTAGATTGATTTTAATCAACCAATCAAACTGTTCGGTACACGGTTCATGTAAATCAAGCATTTTACTTTTGTGAACTGACCGATTTACATCTGAACAAACCAATTCACTAAAATGAGTCACTGATTAATTTAGGGCCCTGCATAAAAGTCCATGCAAGACACTGCACATGATTCTTTGTAATGTACTATTTACTTGTTCATAACTAGAAGTGTTTTAATGCTGTCATCAAATTGTTTTTGCGGCAAAAATACATATAAAAAAAAATAGGTAGCTTGTTGTTGTTTTTAATTATTTTTATTATTATTTTATCCAGTGTTGGGGGTAATGCATTACAAGTAACACAAGTTATGTAACCAGATTACTTTTTTTCAAGTAACTAGTAAGGTAACGAATTAATTTTGAATTTTCAATGAAATATCTGAGTTACATTTTTAAATAAGTAACGCAAGTTACTTTGTTTTCCCATTTATTCGATCACATCTTTCCTGTACCCCTTTTTAAAGAGAAATTGTGAGTAAGTGCAGAGGCAGAGGCACTTACTTTAGCCTGAGGCTTATTAATTTCAATTTGTAATGCAAACGCAATTAGTAACTTTCACCAACACTGATTTCATCATTTGGAAATATGTCACAATATGGAAGCAAAATGAGTTGCATTTCATGTTGACTTCAAACAGCAAACAATAGCAGTCCACATATCAGAAGTGTGCAGCACAAAAACAGAAAATAAGTTGATAAATAAGAGCCCTGGAATTAGCATATAGAAAACCGCCATGTCCGAAGGAGGAAAGACAAAGCATACAAAAGCAATACACAAGGGGAACTGTATATATGGTACAAAGAAGATGGAAAAAAATCATGCCACGGTTAAGAACGCAGGAGAGGTCAGGAATGAGGAGCGTGTTTTATTCCAACAATGAATGATGCATGAGACACAAACATAATGAACGACTAGCAACAGGAGAGCGAACTGAATCACAGACGCCACAGAGACCCAGAATCCCATTATTGAGACGTATTCCCACCGATTACCGACTGATGTGACTGAGAGACAGACGGGAAGCAGATTGAGGAATCTCAAAAAGGGCACGGCTGCAGATGTGGAATATGGAAATGCGTCCGAAACCTCAATGGCTACATAAGAAATGCATGAAAGAAGATTAAGTTGAGGCCGGCGTCCCATGTGTCTAGATTGATTCCTAAACCCAGAATATTCATCACGGTTGCACCACCATGCGTCACGTCCCACAATAATGAGGCATCGGGAGAATTTCAAAGCACAATATTGTGGCAAAACAACAAAGTCCCATAACTGGATGTCATGGCCGGTTCTGCCCGGTTTTATCTTTGATTTATTGGATTCAGTGCACTGATTCTACTCACGTTTGCAGTCTGGGATTGCTGTTCTCAATCTAAGCGCAAACAAGGCGATGAATATATACTTCTGCAATGCTTACTCTTCGCCGTTTGCTCTTGATTTTGTGGCAACTTACTGAAATAGTTCACTCAAACAGAGTAAATAATTTTTGGTAGAACTACTTCTTTAATTGCAGTGAATAAAATGGAGATCATGAAAACTAGCCATCTGTGCAGTCAGACAAGCAGTCGTACTTCCAAAATAAGCGGCAATGTGATAATTGTAATCATAATGTACGCTCATAACAGAAATCAATACTCGCGACCCTGAAGACGGCTTAATCAAGGGCAGAAGAAAGAACGGAACGGAGGCAGAGAGGGGCAGAAACCTGGGTTTTGGCTTGTGTCCCAGGCATGCCGGATGAGGGGAGATAAATTATGCCAGTACAAAGAAAAAAGAGGAGGGGAACAAAAAAGGAAACTTGTAATAGTACAGAGACGGAGAAGAAAAACGAAGCATTGCCACTGCGAATACAGGGTCAATAGAGAGACTACACTGTACTGTATGTATGTGTGGATTGACATTGTGAGATAGTGATTTTACGATGGGAAGTGTTTCTGTTGGATACTGGCCCATCGCAATCTTTAAAATGTTATTGGCTGTGGACCCAAACGTACTGTATTTTCTTCAGAAAAGCCTCTTCTGGAATATTCTGCTCTCCTTTCATCTGTGTGCATTGTGTTTTGAGCAAACAATGCATCAAAAATGAATGAATGATGAATAATTGGGTGAATCTGAAGAAATCTGTCTAGGACATGTTATATGTGGCCTAATGGTTAGAGAGTCGGACTCGTAACCCAAAGGTTGCGGGTTAGAGTCTCGTACCGGCAGGGATTGTAGGTGGGGGGAGTGAATGTACAACGCTATCTCCCACCTTCAATACCACGACTGAGGTGCCCTTGAGCAAGGCACCGAACCCCCAACTGCTCCCCGGGCAGCGGTTTTTGGGGGGGGCGGCCATAACAATTTTGCAGTGTAACAGTTAATTTTCATGACATATTACTATACTATAATAAAAAATGCAAATGCAAATAAAAAACAATATTTACAATATTTGGAATTTTTGGAATTTTATTATTTTTTTATTAAAATTATTTAGCAAAATTTAGTATTTACAAAATAGTATTAGTATTTTGTATTAGGTAGTAATTATTAGTAGTTAAGAAGTATTTTATTTATTGCTTTAATTTTTACTGTAATTCATTAATGGAAATGACCATTGCAGGGTTATTATTGCTAACTGTTAAAAAAATGTTTTTATTGAAATAAAATAAAACATAAATACTGGAAGAAACAATTAGAAATGCTGCCACGCTTAAAAACTAAATAAAAAGTAAACCTAAATAGTTAAACATTAACAAAAATGACAAAGCACATAAAATAACCAAATATTAAAATAAAATTAAAATAAAAAAATAAAATACAAAAACAAAGGCTTAACATTCATAAATACTAACGCACTATAATACACTGAAAAAAATAGGCATAGGATTCACTTAGAAATTGCAAGCATATTTCACAATAATTACTAAATAAACGAATAAATAAATAACTACTTACTTTATTTTAAAGCACTCCAATAATTTTTGTTTTATTTACAACTTCAAAAAATATTTTTTTTACAGTGTAGTATATAACTATAATACTTTAAAGGGGTGGTTCATTGCGATTTCAATTTTTTTATGTTAGTTAGTGTGTAATGTTGCTGTTTGAGCATAAACAATATC